GTTAAATGATGAAAAATTAGGTGTCTATTTACTTCTGAACACTCAGTGTATATTTTTTTTAGACTTACCATAGGGTATAACTTAACACTCAATTGCATTCACACATTTATGAATATATTTACAAGTTTTTACCATGGTAGTTTCTTCATTGTATCTTGTATTTTTATGTATAGAAGGTGATAATTAACAATGATGTTATTCTAGAAAACAAGAAATATAAATGAACTGACTTTGATTTTTATGTTTTAATGATATTCTACTTTAGACTGTTGAATTTGTACCTTTGGAAAAGGCATTAGCTGTAAAATCTGGAAAAGCTGGTGTGGGTATAGATAGACGAACGTCTTCAATATTTCTTCTTACACATGGTATGTATTTTTATAGTTCAGGAGTTTTATAGATGCACTAATGTGTAAATGCAACTTGCTTATGATAACCACATTTTTGTAAACCTGATAAAATGTTAAAATTTAAAAACATTATATAACTAAAGGTAGTTAACCTTTTCTTCAAAGAGGTGCATGCTTAGTATCCTTTCACAAAACACTATAATCATATAACATTTACCAAAAAACAATAACACTGATCCTGTTGATGTTATTTAATTAATGAAATCTGAATAAAAAATCCTATGTGTAGACAAAGTGAACTGTGTTTCATGATTAATAGTAAATCTTGGAAGATATTTGTGAAAATTTGTAACTTTGAGAGTAGTTTCTCTTACTGCACTTCTCAATAATAATTAAACATTTTTAAAGAAGATTTGTTTATTTTTCACAAGAGATTTGTTATGATTAGTTCTTTTCAGATTTCTGTCAAATCATAAGCGACCACCATTACCACAAAATCGAACCACTGACACTGCAGAGCTGATTAAATTAAGAGATGAAACTTTAGATGATCTGGGTGTTGATCGAACTCGACTTGGTGATGTGTTTTTGGAGTAAGTTTTAGCTTTGTTAAGACAGTAAGGTTTCTTTACTTTTTAGTAATAAATAATAATTACTGTCGATAAGGAAATCTCGGAAACAAACAGCTGTTAGGTGCTTTCCTAAGGCAAAGAATTTTCCATATATTGTGCTGTAGATATAACTTTGCAAAGTATACAAAAAGAATTAATGTTTTGGTCTAGTATCATGTTCATTATTTTCCTGTCAATGGAAGAACGTCCATTATTACCAAGTAAAGATTCTTTACTGGAGTAATTATTAACTATATTTTCAAAGTTTTAATTTGGTTGATTGCTAGAGGGAGCTGCTAACATTATGATGATGCTAGAATTAGAAAGTTTATAAAAGGAGTCCTAGAATACTTAAAATATTTGTAAATGTTAGTGTTGGAAAGCCTTTTTAAAGTATCTTGAAGTAAAGTTACATTATAAATATGAGAATCAATGAAGCATTTTTAGTTAATTCAGTTCATTCAGTGATTTAGAAGTTAGTGAAATGTTAGTTATTGTGTATAACACCCATGAAATTGTACAAGTAAGTTTATTTGTAAAGTAGTCATAATACTGTTAGTGAGTAGATTTCTGTTGAAAGGGAATATGTTATTTGTGAACTATGGCTTACAAATGTGTGCAAGTGATAGTGGCCTGTAAGGAAATATTAAAGAAGAAATTACCTAATTTGTTATTGTTATGTGGACTGGCTTTACATTGTTTTCACCAAATAATATAAAATAACCAGCCCAATGAAAGAACATATTACAACAACTTTTTCAACTCTGTAGTTATATAATGGTATTCTATAAGTCAGTTGTTTTTACTGTTTACTGACTCTGAGAAAATGTGATTTATTATCTATATACCTATGCCAGAATGAAAAGATAAACTAATATTATAAACTTGTTTTGTTTTAATTCCCTATGTGCCAAAGAGTAGTTGTACAGTCTAATATCATCATTGCCTGATTCTATTAAATGTCAAGTTTCAGATTTTGTTTTTATCTGTCCAAATATTGTGTTCTGTTTCATTGTTACTCATTTTTTATAGCTTATTATGTAAAATTAACTTTTTCAGTATTTTTTTAAACATGAACTTCAAGCATCTTGCCTGTAATTGAGTGTAATACATGTACAAAGATGTACATTAACATAGGAATTAAATGTACTAGAGGCTGTACCGAAGACTTACAAAATCCAAATGTTTCACTCGTATTGATATAAACATAATTTCTCTATAAAGTTTTATAATTCTGTTTAGCCTTGTAATATTAATGAATATGAAACTCATCCCAGTAGAATTAGAATCAACATTTTCTGAACCAAAAAGTTTTGTAATTCTAATATGGAAATAAAACTAAATATTTAAACTTAAGAAAAATGTGTCAACTAATTGCAGATTATCTATGTGCTATCCAAAATTTACTTGAACATGAATGTTGTTAGAAAAAGTGTGTAGAATTGGAGCATAGCAGATAGTGTCATAGTTTTTGTTTTTTGTGATATAGTTTTTGCTTTTTGTATTTCTACTCTAAATTTATTTTGTTCAAATATCAATTTGCAGCAAAACTTTTGGAGAACTTAGTCCCATCTGTGCTGTTGTAGGTGGTGTTCTATCTCAAGACATTATTAAGGTAAGCCTTGTCTGAACTGTGTGTTAGTGCTCATGTACAAAGTAGTCTCACATAATGTCATTAAGTGCTAAGTATTATGATTATTAAGATGTTCTAATTTGTATTTTATTAAACCAATTGTTTAAAATGTTTGTTTGGTGATATAGTTTATAAATTCAGGAACATCTTATGTGATGTTCCTGTTTTTTATATTGTTAAAACAAATAATATTTGCCCATTAATGATGATCCAGTTCAAATTAATATTAATTTTCTTGAGCATCACAGGGTTATGTGATTTTTTTAGATCCTTCAATTGCTCCAGAACAATGAAACTCCATAGTGTATGCTTCCCCAGGCATAAGGTACATTTGCCCAACTTAACATGCATAATTTACATAAATAGACTGCAATTTTAATGGGAGTATGCTCTTGCAAAAACAAATAATGAACATGTTTAAGTCACAGAGGTTTAATTCTGTTCCTCATGGTCAGGATCTACTAGTCAACAGTACTTACTTTTAGCTTATTCTTCTCATTATATTTTTCCTAAAGTTAAAATCAGTACCCATTATCCACATCTGTAAACTGATCTGAAAATGAAACGATATATCTGCATTGGATAAACTCTTTTGTACTATATACTAGTTGAACTCTGAACTGTATTCAGTGCTGGTAAGCCTGACAGCTGTTGGTGCAAGTCACAATCTTGCCAAATAGAAATTTTGCCATTGAGAAACTATATTATTTCTTGTTTGCATTACTTATATTAAGAGCTATATACAACATAAAGTGATGATGTATGTTTTGATGTGTTATTCACAGCTCAAAAAACATTAAGGGATCACAGAAGTCTTCTCTGGGACACAACTATTATTAAATGATGTTATTAGTACCCATGGTCATTTTTATACAAAATGTGTTAGATAACTAGTTATGTGATTTGATATGCACATTTCAATGGTGTATAAGAGTGAAGAAAATTCAGTGTGCTCTCAGTAGTATGAACGATGGTATAGTTTGTAAAGAGATCCATATTGACAAGAAAACATGCCAGGACCTCAGTGTCAGTGAAGACATTTGGACTTTTCATTATTTGTAGAGCAGTAGGATAACTAGGAGTCGATCAAACACAATAAACTGTCATTTAGTTGTATGAGTATCATAAAGTATGGCTATCGAGTTGCGGACTTGTTTCAGTCCACCAGTACAGTTAACTATAACCTTGACTATTGTTGACAACCACTATTTAACATTGAGGTTGATTCAACCTGCAGGCCTCAGACTCCTAACTGAAACAACAATTCAGAGCATCAACTAGATAACCAGTCAACATGCAAATGGTCAAAAACAGGCTTTCCTCTGTGCCAACTGATGAATAGTTTGTGTTTTTCTGATCCATAACTATGAAACAGCCCATCTTCATTGATGTCGAGCACATGTGAATCGGCCAAATGAAATGAAGACAAATGCCTTCTTTATCCATGAATCATGCTTTCTACTGAAGCCAGTACACATTTGAAGAGTGGCCAGAACCAGATCCAATCTCAATTTCACAGAGGAAGACAAACATATGATAGTGATGGCATACTAGTCTGGGCAGGGGTCAGTATTGGTGGCCAAATTGACCTTTATGTGCTACAATATGTTATACAATATAAGAATGTAGTTTTTAGAACCATTGATTTTACCATACGCAGTTGTAAATGGTCAGAACTTTATTCTAAAAGATAATGTTTACACCCATTGTGCTCAAATATTTAGCAATTTCCTGGAAGAAGAGAGTATTGAGTGAATAGATTTGACCGTGAATTTACTGTATTTGAAACTGATTGTAACATGTAGGGGATGCTCTGGAAAGATTCTGCAACACATGATTTGCCCCATCCAGTACTGATAAACTGGAAACAGCTCTGATGAAGTAGTGAGTTATATTTCCCCAGCAGCTCTTTCATTCTCTCATTCTAAGTGTGCTACAATGATGTATGACTTGCATTAGTGTTTGAAGTGATCACACACCTTTTTAACAAATATTTGGACATTTATTAGGTACAAAATCTAGTACAAATGGACTTCATTAGTGAAGATTTACATATCACATTACTGGTCACCCGACACTTGTTTTGCATAAAAATGAACTCAAGGATACCATTGCCTGTATTTAATAACAGCAGTTGTCACAGTTAAAATATAGAAAACTAATTATCCCTTAATTATTTTGAGTAGTGTGTTTTAAGAATGTTTTCAAAAAACTTGTGATTCAAATTATTTTCATTAATGAATTAAATTTATTAATATTACAATTAAAGATAGAAATAACTACATATTTAAAAATCATATATATTAGATTTACGTGATGAATTTTTTGTCTAGCTCACCTTTGCTATTTAATGATCATCTTTCTACACTTTTTATCAATAATAAAAGCACGTACTATTTATTAGCTGGTCTATCTTAAACTGCGTTTCAAAATGAATTCTTTTTAATAGCAATTGAAATAAGAAATACACTTTCTATTTGGCTTTTATTGGTGATGGTGGTATTACAGATTTGTTAGCTTAAATATTGTTTGTTTGTGGTGTTTTTACAGCTTTTTGAAATACAGACATGATACTATTATTTTGATACATCTTTATATAAAAATTTGTGTATGTTTATGCAAAACTAACCTATTATTGATGTTTGTTACCATAGTACCAGAGAAAAGGGTTTTAGTTTTAAATAATATATTTTGTTACATTTTTTTAATGGGATTCATTGTTTGCTTTATAGGCAGTTTCTGCAAAAGATGCTCCTTTGAAGAATTTCTTCTTATTTGATGGGCAAGATGGTAGTGGAGTGGTTGAACATTTTGGACGATAATGTAGATTGATCCTTTGAGTTTCTGAATTTTGTTCACTTCAACATTAATTATCAGTTTGAATACAGAAATAAACATTTTTTTATATTGGTGATAAGGCTTTTGGTATATTTACTTGTAAAATAAGATTTGCACCTGACTGAACATTTGGATACAGTGTGTACAAGTACGTGTATATAGGTTTAACTTACAATTCTTGTACCTAAGTGGACCTGCATAGTGATACAGTTTGAATATTTTTGCATCAAATACAAGTTTTTAAGCAAAATAATTTTGTAATTATTTTCACAGTTATAAACTTGATTAATCATATATGCTTTTAATCACATTTTACTTAAAACTAGGTAGAAGACGGTTTTCCACCCGAGTTCCTTAGTGATGATTGTTCTTTTGTAGAAGTGACAGATGACACAGCTATTGAAAAATTCAGTGTTAACTAGTATTTTGATTTAATACAGTTTTCTTGTTTTTCATGCTACAGTTTTACTGAAATTAGTTAAAACTGACACTATTATTGTTGGTCATTGTGCTATAAGCAGTTCCAAAAATTATATGTCATTTCTCCTGTTATCATAAATCACAGCTGTTTCAACACATTTTGTATATGATACCAACTATGAAAAGACATTATCCTCATTTCATCTAACTCTCTTTCTGTAATTGTATAACAATGCCACCTGCTACTGGTGAGAAGACTATTTGGAAGTTCAGACTGTCAAAACTGAATAAAAGGAGAAGGGTGTTAATTCAAATTTGGTGCTCCTAGGTCTGTTAGAGGAAGATTGTGGACTGGACATGAAATCAGACAATTGGTTTATACTGTGGATAATCTGAAAAAGATTTTTGAACGTCTTTGTTCAAATCTACACGACATGGCCAGTAGGTATGACCAGCTCTCTGCCTGAAGGATGTGTGGACCTCAGAACAGCAATTAGAATAATTATCAATGGCTAAATGGTAAAGAGAAGGTACTATAAGCCTGGTTTAAAGCTTAGAAGCCATTCTTTAGCCTTGCAGTTGATCAAACATCTCCTTTGACCTTTTGTGGGATCATTAGAATTGAAAACTAGTGTTGGACATCTGTAATCTTTGCAAATGAGTCAAGGTTTCATGTTTGTACCAGTAATAAAAATGTTTGTATCTGCAGAAGCACAGATAAACTTTCCATCAACATTTGTATACAACCATTTTGATGACAGTTCAGTTGTAGTGAAGGGCAGAGTTTGAAATAATAGTTGGCATTTATTGGCTTACTTATCAAATATGTAAATCGAGATAAAATGTTAAGGATTTTAGTTTTTGAATGGTAAATTGTCATGTCCAAATTCAAATGTAATGTGCAGTGAAATCATTTGTAATCAAAATATTCATTAAAATTAAATCAAATAAATTCTTTACTAAGAACTTTACAACTTGATGAAATAGGGTGTATGAACTTCTATAGCGTAAGTTTGGAAAACATTTAATTAGTCAATATATATACATATGTTGGCTTATGTATAGCATGAGTGAACAAAAGTGATGGTAAATATCATGAACTTATTTTTTCAGTTATATCATGGCAATCAAACGTAGTTGATTCAGTTTGAACCTAACTATGACCACAGTGTTCATGTGAAGAAAAAAACTACAATGTATTATATAAGTTTTCTTGTAGGGAAAATGGAAGACTTGATAGGTTGGGTGTGGCCTAGATGATTATTGTGCTGATACTGTGAATCCAATCGTTTGTGTTTGCAACCTTAGTGGCACAGATGTGCTCCACACTAAGGGATTGTGGGAGCTATAAGAATGATGGTCAAATTCCACTGTAATGCAGTAACCCAACAACTGCTGGCTGAAGCCTTTCACTAGCTACCTTCCTTCTAGTTTACCAGTTCAAAATTAGGGATGACTAGCAAAGGTAGCTCTTCTGTAGCTTTTTACAAAAACTTTTAAATCTAGAAGACTTGAGTTCAATATTAATGAAAATAAAAAATTATGTTCGTTGTATATACATGTGAAAGAAAAAATGAAGACAACACTTATGAATTGTGTTACAGAAGTGAAGTAGTTTGTAATTTAGAAAGTTTGTTTTTTGGTTTGATTTTACATATAGCTAAACAAAAGCTAAATGTGCTAGCTGTCTCTAGTTTTGAAGTTACAGACTAAAACAGCAATTTTTCAAACTTTGGCGATACATGAGAGTGTGTGTGTGTCAAATGTTTTTCCATCATCAAACCTTCCTTTATTTAGTGGGGTTATATGAACTAACTTTGTGTGTGTGTGTCATATTGTTTTTTTTTTTCATAAAAGAAAGTCATGAAAAACTCAAATTGAACTAATGATTAAACAAATCTGGAATAGCTAGCTTAAAATAACATTTATAGATTAGAAACCTTCTGTTTTCTAGCTCCTGAAATACCATACGAATTCATTATCGATGTAAGACAGAATAAGTAATATAATGTTTGAGAAGGTTTTCATAAAATTATTAATAACACGTTTATTTCTTCATTAATACATTTTACTGTACACAGTTTTATATATATGGTTGTTAAGTTGGTTGGCAGGTAATGTATTTTTAAAAGTGTTTTATTTTAGTGCTTTATAAGGTGGTTTCACATTCCCTGATCAAACATGAAAAAGAAATACCCTCCACGTCAAAGAATTGTGACCCATATGTTATTCGAATAGAACTAGGTAATGACTTTATAAATTTGTTTTCATGAATCTTATGACTATTTTGACCACAAGTTAAGGGAAAAACATGAATCAGTTCTTCAAATATATTATTTTTATATTTTGTGGATTAAATCTATGAAAAGTGTTTATGAATCCACAATTTCAAGGGCACTCGTCTGTCGTTTCCAACAGATACCACTCTTGGATTATAAATAGCGTTTTAGAAATGTAAAATACGGAAAGAGGGTCGAAACCAAAAACATCAATGAGAAATGTTGAAAAAAGATTACTTTTTCAACAAATAATGTAATATCGTGGTCAGAGAAAATAATGAAAGGATTTAGGGTGTTTATAGAAAATATTACGAGTTCTGCCATCGGGAAATATAATTCGTCAAATACACTAGTTCTATTTTCTACTTACTAATGTTAAGTTAATGAAAATGTTATGTAGTCCTTGTTGTTGTTTTTTAATAAAGCTCAAAGTAACTTATATGTCCTTTAAAATATTAATTTGTTCTGGGCTTTCTCATTATAAATAATGCTAGAAACCGGGGTTTCAATAACTGTGGTGGATATGGCACAGATAGCCCATTGTGTAGCTTTGTGCTTAATTACAAACAAACGTTATATACTCGTTAAATATTCATGTTGTCGGTTTAACAAATCACGTTTTGTTTGATCTAACAAGATATGATGAACACTTTCAAACTTTTTTAGAATCCATTTCAATTTTCTTTGTTGACATATAACTACAATGTTGTTGTTTTTTTATAGAAGATGTAGGGTAAGAATAATGCATGAATTACAGTTAAAGAAACCCGATAACTCAAGGTTGGCAGGCCTTCCGAAAGTTCTGTAATTCTTTCGAAATAAGAACTACTTTACCAGTAAAGAATAAAAGGTACAAGTTTAAAAACATTTTACAAATTTCGACGTTTAATGTACTTTCTGTCTTTATTGGCAAGTCTAAAATGCTGTATCTAGGAAAGAACTGCTGGTAAATAAACAAGAGAAAATTGGACGTCCCTTTTGACCTTACAACTTTGAAACTTTTGTTATAGAAAGAGGTTTTGATACTGTAAAGTTTGAAACTCTGTATTATTTTGTATTTAACCTATATTTGGATTTTGTAGCTTTTTAAATCGTTCTTTATTTGTTTTTTCAACTTTCTTTGTCCTTTTCTTTCGAAGAAACTTTGAAACTTTTGTTATACAAACAAAGAGGTTTTGAAACTTATAAAAGTTTGAAATTCTGTATTATTTTTAGTTAACCAACATCTGGGTTTTACAGCTTGTTTAATAATTCTTGATTATTTATATACTGATATCCAATCAGTTGTATCTTTCAAGGTGTCCTCTTGTACGCTGATTTTTGCATTTTTCAAATTTATATAACAGTCTAGCCTAGTTATTTTGCCCAGAGCTTATAGTTTTCCTTTGAAATTTATATTTATTTATTTTATTTTTTCAAATATCATAAAGCTCAATTTGTGTCAATTTGGAAAGTTGTGTGTAACATTTCTTCTGTTGAAACTCAACTAACAGAGGTAGTCACGTGACGCCATCATTTCTGTTAGCATCTCTATATCCGTTATTAGATTGATTCTTCATGAATAACTTTAATAAAACGTCACCATTCACAGAATCTTCAAGGAATTATACTTTTATTTAACCGAACTTGCTTTAATTTAATCGTCATTTTAAGATGGGAATATTCTTGACGTGTGAACACCAGATTAGAAGTTTCAGTATAATACGTTTTACTTTCGAAAAGTTGTTTAAAATAATAACTACTGGTCGTTAGAATTGAGTAGGTTGATAGTTGGTGGGAACAGGAACAAAAAGTAAAACATATATTAATGATAAAGGAGTCTATTACATGATCGTAAAAGTTCAGTGGTTTTTACTTACGCCTAAGCTCCAAATTTACATTCACGATAATTAATGTCTCAGGTTCTTCGTAAAATGGTAGAATGTGTAATAAATAAATAATGTCTTAAAAGGTACGTGTATATACATATGGATAGGAGCATTAAAAATGTCACCTTTTTTATATTTGAATTAAATACACATACACGTCAACGGGCATGAAACACAATGTTAAAGAAATGTCATCCCAGCTAAAGTATTATATAACAGTTTTGCTTTTTTAAACCAATCATTTCTATTTCTAATAATAAATTAGTTAATTGCTTGAAAAGGCTAAACAAGAGAGAGGATGATTGTTTTCAATTGGAAAGATATTGCTTTGAAAACTTTTTTTTTTTGTCAAATCTTCAACAGATATTGCTTGTCAAGCTTTCACGCCAAGTTGTTCCAATCGTTAATAAGAGGTGATAGTTTTGAGACTTTCACAAAGTTACTCAGTTCTTCAAGACATGTACAGTATGTTTCTCTCGAAGAATCGCCAGGGGAGACTGAACTGAACAAGTAGAGTCAGACGAAGTAAAGTCACTGTCCAATGACGAGTTGAGTGTGACTCTCGCGAGTTGTGATCTTCATCTTTCTAAGTGAACAGAAAGTTACAAACTTGTGAATAACGTTATCGCAAGGAAAATCAAAGAGTTAATACCTACGAAACATGAGAAAGCATAATTTTTAGATATAAATTAAATAAGGTAAGAGTAACAGCAATATATATATATATATTGCACAGACTTTACACAGTTAACCTTGAATAACGTCATCGATTTTCAAAACATTGAATACTATATGCATATAACTTCTATATATACTGTTATTACAACTGCATTTTTCTTTTAATTTCAGATCATATTGTATAAATAAAGGTTCACAGGTCAAGATTTTAATCATCTGCTATACAAACAGTTATGCTAAAAAGGAAACGGCATATGTACGAATTAAATGCTACATAGCTTCGCGTGTATTTCAGACGTTGTGACTGGAACGGTAATCATTCTTCGCTAATACGATTTACATAAATAATAGATTCTAACGATACGGCTTGCTGGAGTGATACCTGCTGTGACGTATCTTTTACTCCTGCACAGGTGTTCAGGTCACCTGGTTACAGAGTAAAATGTGATCATGGAAATCTATAATTCACGTGCAGATAACCGTATGATACGATTTAGCTGCTCTTTAATTGTTTCTGTAAATGATCAGTGGTCGGGGACTTTCACCTGCGACTGACCGATGCCGTGGACTGAGTCATATAGATAGCACGAAATTCACCTTATAACTCCCGTGTGGAACAAAAGTCTTAGTTCCATCCCACTGCTATTATTAGCACCTGGGGTTTAACAAGAACTCGTAATCGGGCACCTGTGACGGAGCGATTTGGTTTAGCTGATACTCACCCTGTTATTTCCCAAATACACCTCTAATTAGTTTGCTGTCATGACATTTAAGACAAGGATTATAGATAGATAGATCATGAAAATCTGGCGTTGAAAACAATATTTCAGGTCATTTGTTTTTACTACATTGAGCTCTCCCTATCAAAATCGTTGTTACAGAATAATATATGGCCAATTTCAAAGAAATCTATTGAATCCATTTTCCCTACCGATTAAAAGACCTAAAACCATACTGTTCATATAATGTAATTATATGAAAATACTAATACATTATTGGATATGAGTGAAAAAAAACAACTTTAAATTCGAGGTAAAACTAAGGCACTCCGTAGAGCGCATGCTTCCGCCACGCAGCATTGATCATATTGGGCTCTCAAAAAATACGAAAATGCGTCAGTATATCTATCATTATTAACGCACACGGACCATTTTTAGCAGGACAATGGGGAATAATATTCTACACGTTTCCACCAAGTTTAATGAAAATTCGATCATTGTTGACTGAGTCATAGAGCAAAAATGGTGTGAAAAATCGGTCATCGTGTTAACAGAAAGGGATTTTTTTTTATTTTCGTGACCTTGACCCACGGAAACTAATCACTTCTAAGGTGGGTCATAGTCGAAGTGTATACCAACTTTCGTACAAATCCATTCAGCCGTTTTCGAGAAATCTTGCTGACAAACACACACACACACAGGGGTGAAAACATAACCTCCGTCCACTTTCGATGGCGTAGGTAATTATTGTTATTGCGAGGCTTATTCGATTATCTTTTAACACCTTCCACACGAGCTTGCCCGGCATCCTGATGTAGATAAAAATAAGTCATTCTGGAAAGATTTGGGTTGTTTTTTATTAGTCAAAAAAGTAGATGTTTGGCACTATTTTCGAGACCCGAGGTTATGAGAGCCAATATGGAGAAGTTAACTTGTAAATGTAAAGTAAGACGATGTAACAATGAAACATGCTTGAAATGTTCTAGATGTGGTTTAAGTGTAGCGATTAAGCTGAACCGTGGGTCCAGGTCGGATGAGGGAAGAACTTATTTGAAGATATCCAAATCGATTTGACATACCAGCTGAATCGGAGGTACATCAATTGATTACTGCATTAAGAGCTAAACATAAAAAAAAACGGGCACAATAGTATCATTATCTTGTAGGGGGGGGGGGGGTTGGAATCATATGTAAAAATTCATTACTTTCAATTTTTTGTTAAACTAACGGCTCAGTAAAGCCCAAAGATGCAGTGTTTAAGCTGATGCATTACAAAATGATTTCTCTAGCGATTCTCAAATCAAAAATGCCATTTTGCAACGAAGAGTAAATATAAGGATGGTATAATGTCCAGTATGGTACCATCACAATAAAATCCATATAGCTTTCATCATGTCGTGTTCTAATTAATATTTATTAATTTTTTTCGTTTTAGAAGTTGTGCCGAGCTTCATTCATCGAGATCTATCAAAATAATCCTAAATCATAGGCCCGGAATGACACCCCAGTTGACCATTCTAGGCTCAGTACTAAAACATAATGGGATGGCAGGTGTTAAACGACAATCTTTCATTGATATGCTGCCACTGGTTTTAAACAGGTAATTCTTGCTTAGTTATGTATTATATACGTGTATACCGGTTACATAAACTCGATTAACATACAACACTCGGATTATCACAGTACAACAATCACATCAAAATCACCATACATCCTGTGCCTGGGTCACTGCTTCGACCGTGAGTTTACTCTTGAACCTTGTATTTACCTCGAGCTCACATGCCGTCTTCTCGTCTAGTTATCACCATTCAACAACGCATTAGTATTAAACAAATTTGTAAACTAGCCCTAAGCCTTATACTCTTTCCGGACAAACAATCGTTCTGATTTCTCCGAGGTTTAAACCCGTTTTAACTCATCTAATTAACAAATATAATGTATTCTTATAGAAAAAAAAATCTTTAAATTTTGCATATAAAATGTAAAAACCCGCTCACTTAAAAGATTAACATTCAGGTATAGCCACCATTAATTTAGAACGCTTGGCCAACGGAAGGGGATCCAGTCAACAAAACCGGTCGCCTACGAATCTACTCTTAACCTAATAGCAAGATTGACTGTTACTTCCATAACGCGTCCACAGGTGAAAGTGAAAAGCGTATTCAATAGCATTTCGCTGCTCAAAAACATACTTACTTTATAACTGTTGATCAGAAGTAGAGTAACTAGTCAGAAGCACCCACCGCCTTTGCATCTGTGCTTAACCGAATGTTACAGTCATAACGGCGCCACATATGAAGGTGTTAAGTTGTTTTCAACGGTATATTACGACTCGAGCCTTTCCAATCCGTAATCCGAAACGCTAACCATTAGATCACACGAGATATTAATGTAATACAGAATCGAAACTCTATCATTTATATGTAATAATTTTATCTCCGGTGTATCATCTATTGCCAGTAAAATCACTATCACAAGCGAACGTAGCCAGGTTATAATATATTTTCGGAATTATGGTTCGTGCAAGAACTATGCTAAAAGCAGTTTATCTGTTGTTGATTATTGTCAAGATATTGATTAAGTAACTTTACAAGCAAAATTACAGAGCCAATAACTCGCATTACTTTTTTACAGTTGATGTCATTAAACACTTCTTAACAGTGGTGATTTATCAGTACATTAAATAAAGAGCTTGAAGACAAGTGGCCCTGAAATGCATCTTGCAATTGTAATTGAAATTTTTCATGTTTGATTTTAATTTATGTTGGAGGGCCCCGTGGTGATGGCTCAGCGGTAAGTCTGGGGGATTACAACGCTAAAAATTGGGTTTCGATTAGCACATATAGTCCTTTGTGTAACTTTATGCTTAATAACAAACAAACAAAATTGTGTTTGAGGTTGCTGACTTTCTGTACGTTAAGAGGTGATAAAGGCAAACTATAGAGGAAAACACGTGTTTTTCGAAAGAATGTTACATTTCAAATATATTACTTGATTGTATGCAGTGCCATCTGCGTTATTATTAGCGTTGGGATATGTGCGTACAGCCAGATTCTATTTTATTTGATTAATTTTTATTACCGGTTACCAGATTTATAGTCAGTCATCGTAGAGGAGTTAAAGATGGTTTACCGCAGAAGCTAACCCTCCCCCTGTTTGATGTATATTAAGCTGTATGGATCCAATTTATCACAATGTGAAAACTGCCTTTTATTGTAAATTACTCCATGTGGACCACGGAGTAACTAGAATCCTGGACTAGGGGGCGTGTCAACAGTGGTCATCTCTGCAGCCACAGCAGGAAGAATATGTCAACGAGCCTGACGGGTATGACAAATGAAGTAATTTGAAACGTGACACAAAAGTCGCCAGTGGCATTAGCCTCTGATCATGTGTCTTGACGGATAGAGCTCCCCTCGGTGGACAATCAGCCACCTGTACGTATCCCTGCGAGGATCAGCTAGACGTAGCGTTTTTCGCTTCACTGACTTTAATCAACGCACGAGTACTGCGAGGAGACGTACGTCTTGTCAACCCTTTTATGAACGTATCAATGTAAGAAGTTTGCCCCGGGAGATGTGAGGGAGGAGGACTCAGCCAAGCAAAACCTGACTTGTTTGCATGCCTCGCAATCTTCCCGCCAGTCTCCATATAAGGAAACTTATGCAGTTATGTGAAATAACTAAATATTTTTGTTCATATCCGGAACAGCATACATTACACAAGTGTTGCTTATATTTTTCGTTGTAGTTAGCTTTAAGATGAAGTTAAGAATTACTCAAGGAAAATCATAGTTAATACGGAAAAAATGCATGCTGATAAAAATTATCACTTTTTTAATCCGCTAGTAACAAAATGTAATTGAAAAGTGATAAATAATTTTTTCAAATAAAAACTGACATCCAAAAAAGTCTAAGTTGAAAGTGCGTTTTACCAGCATCAAACTAAAATAACTTTTTTTTTCATATTTTCTAATGCACTGGATTCCTTTCAAGAACTTGTGTGTAAGTGTACATAATTTAAAATTTCCTTCATTTCGAGGAAGATAAATCACTTATTGCCTAATTTAATAATATGCACAACATTTCATTAATTAAATACAAAAGTCCCTTGGTGGCTGGGCTGTTAATCTGAGGCAATGCTAAGAATCGAGTTTTGATACCTGCATACAGCCTATTATGTTGCTTTG